TTTCTAACTCAGCGGCGCGTCTCTTCTTCGAGCACCTGGTCTTGTTTTCCACTGTCCCGGGCCTGTAGTTAGTGAGGGATTCCCTGCCGCACACACACAGTACAGTACATGCTTGACTTTATAGTGTCCGTGTGGATTATGAGAGCAAGTCTAGACGCAGACGAGTGAACGATTCTCCTCTGATCTCCGCCTGTTCAAAGCCTGCGTCTCAATGGCTTCTTCCGACACCATCACAACTGCGGGATTCTGCCTTTGACAATAATTGCAAGCATATCAAAAGCAGCATTCATCCACACATAAGCCGCCTGTGAGCACTTCACGTCTTAAAAGAGTTTTATTTGGGTGCGTAGGATGAATGAAACAGAAATGATAGTGAATGCATTTGTTGTATTGGAACAGTTACGTTATACTACACTGTGTGTTTTTAGTGTTTTAAACTTATACATTCATCGGCCACTTTATTAGGTACACCTTACTAGTACCAGGTTGAACCACCTTTTGACTGTCTTAATCCTTCATGGCAGAGATTCAACAAGGTACTGGAAATATTCCTCAGAGATTTTGCTCCATGTATGACATGATAGCATCACGCAGTTGTTGCAGATTTGTCGGCTGCACATTCATGATGCGAATCACCCGTTCCACCACATCCCAAAGATGCTCTATTGGATTAGGCTCTGGTGACTGTGGAGCCCATTTGAGTACAATGATCTCATTTTCATATTCAAGAAACCAGTCTGAGATGATTTGTGCTTTATGACATGGTGTTTTATCCTACTGGAAGTAGCCATAAGAAGATTGGCCGATTAGTATTTTGCAATAACGAGCAGTTGTACCTAATAAAGTGGCCAGTGAGTTTATATTATTTAATTGGTTGTTTTTCTTAACGTGGAAAGATGCTACCTTAAAACGACATAAAAATTTAAATGCTGCTTTTATTCTAGCTGAAATCAAAACTAATAAGACTTTTTTCAGAAGAAAAAAATGTTATTGGAAATATTATGAAAGTTCCTTGCTCTGTTAAACATCATTTGGAAAATATTAGAATTTTTCCTTATATTTATATATATATATATATATATATATATATATATATATATATATATATATATATATATATATATATAATAAACAGAATAATTAGCCCCCCTTTGAATTTATTTCCCTTTTTTGATATTTCCCAAATGATGCAAGGACATTTTCACAGAATGTCTGATAATATTTTTTATTCTGGAGAAAGTCTTATTTGTTTTATTTCGACTAGAATAAAAGCAGTTTTTAATATTTTTAAACACCATTTTAAGGACAAAATTATTTGCCCCTTCAGGCTAATTTGTTTTCCGAACAAACCATCATTTTACAATAACTTGCCTAATTACCCCAACCTGCCTAATTAACCTAATTAACCTAGTTAAGCCTTTAAATGTCACTTTAAGCTGTATAGAAGTGTCTTGATAAATATGCAGTAAAATATTATGTACTGTCATCATGGCAAAGATAAAATAAATCAGTTATTAGAAATGAGTTATTAAAACTACTATGTTTAGAAATGTGCTGAAAAGAAAATCTGCTCTCTGGTAAACAGAAATTGGGAAAAAAAAAAAACAGGGGGGCGAATAATTCTGACTGGAGCATCCAGAGGAAACCCACGCCAACACAGGAAGAACATGCAAACTACACACAGAAATGCCAACTGACCCAGCCGGGGCTCGAACCAGCGACCTTCTTGCTGTGAGGCGATAGCGCCACTGCTCCAGTGTGCTGCTCAATTTTTTGAAAGTTTGCATGTTCTCCCTGCGTTCGCATGGGTTTTCTCTGGGTGCTCCGGATTCCGGATAGGTGAATTGGGTAGGCTAAAATTGTCCGTAGTGTATGAGTGTGAATAAGAGCGTATGGATGTTTCCCAGAAATGGGTTGCGGCTAGAAGGGCATCTGCTGCGTAAAAACGTGCTGAATAAGTTGGCGGTTCATTCCGCTGTGGCGACCCTGTATTAATAATGGGACTAAGCCGAAAATAAAGTGAATGAATGAATTACAGAACAAACCATCGTTATACAACGACTTGCCTAATTACACTAACTCACCTAATTAACCTAGTTAAGCCTTTAAATGTCACTTTAAGCTGTATAGAAGTTTCTTGAAAAATATCTAGTCAAATATTATTTACTGTCATCATGACAAAGATAAAATAAATCAGTTATTAGAAATGAGTTATTAAAACTATTATATTTAAATATTAGATATTAATTATATAAAATATTAAATATATAAATACATTAAAATGTAACAAGAGGGCTAATAATTCTGACTGCAACTGTATATACCTTATTGGGTGGCAGGGTGAATGTAGTGGAACGATATTAGATGTACATGCCTGTGAAAGGGTTGAGAATATAAGAGACAGATATATATTAGAACACACCCTTTTTTTTCTTTATCCTCAACATGGAAGCACTCAAATCGCTGGACGCCTTTTGTAAAATAATAATAAAGAGGCTTTTCTGTGATTCTGTTCCAGTTCTGAAGCTCATTTCTTTTCAATGTTTGACCAACTCTTGACTCTTGGACAGTTTCCCACACTGCGTTCTTGTAAAATGCTGCAATTTGCATATACAGTTGAAGTCAGAATTATTAGTCCCCTTGAATTAATACCCCCCCCCCCCAATTTCTTTTTACCAGAGAGCAGATTTTTTTCAGCACATTTCTAAATATAATAGTTTTAATAACTCATTTCTAATAACTGATTTCTTTTATCTTTGACATGATGACAGTAAATAATATTTGACTAGACATTTTCAAGACACTTCTATTCAGCTTAAAGTGACATTTAAAGGCTTAACTAGGGTAATTATGCAAGTTAGGGTAATTAGGCAAGCCATTATATAACAGTGGTTTGTTCTGTAGACAATCAAAACAAATATTGCTGAAGGGGCTAATAATATTGACCTTTAAATGCTTTAAAAATATTAAAAACTGCTTTTATTCTAGCCGAAATAAAACAAATAAGACTTTCTCCAGAAGAAAAAATATTATAGGAAATACTGCGAAAATTTCCTAGCTCTGTTAAACATCATTTGGGAAATATTTGAAAAAAAAATCACTGGAGGGATAATCATTTTGACTTCAACTATTTATATACATATATATATATATACACATACATTTTACATATATTCTTTAGAAGGTCACACAGAAGCCATCTATGCACTTTGAATCAATAAGCAGAGCATTTCATCTGGGTGAAACTTACATCTGGATTGTGCTGCCGTTTTATTTCCAGCGTGTCATTCATTGTAAACCAAACGTCTTACGTGATTTTTTTTATACCCTTTTTATGATTCAGCCAAAGCAAACCAAGCGGCCAGTGAAGAATAAATACAATTAAAGCACCAACCTCTTCCACTTCTGCCAACAAATCTCAGGTCGTTGAAACGCGCCACCTGATTCTTCATGACAGCGGAGGCGTTTCTCAGCTCAGCCGAATAGTTTTCGTCATTTCCAGCCATTACCGTCACCACCGTCCCGTCAGGAACATCTCCCAGAGCCACAACCTGAACAGGACAGACATGCGCTCAGGTCAGCCTGTTTACATACACATACTGATGAAAACAGGCCTGCCAGACTCATTATACACTATAATATATAGTATTACAACTGTGCGAACAGAGCAGTACCAACAAATATAGCTCTAAACAACAGCTTAATGGCTTTAATTAAGCAAAATATTCCTGAAAATGATCAGCAAACATTCACACTGTTAAAAATGACGTTGCAAATAGCATTTACACTCAAAACAATGACTTTTGCTGCTTGTTCAAACTACTTTAGACTCATTTAAAATGAGTTGAATCAACACAATTCTTGTGTATTTTTGGGAAAACTTAATTGTGTTAAATGCAATTAAATTTGTAAAAACAATGAACTTAACTTAATCCATTTGAGTTAAGACAACATGAAGGAACAGTGTGTTTTTCATAGTGTCCAAATATAGCTGTAAACTACAGCTGGATGGCTTTTATTGAGCAAAATATTCCTTAAAATGATCAGAAAACATCCACAATGTAAAAAATGATCTTGCAAAAAGTCATGACGACACATTTACGCTTAAAAATAATTACTTTACTACTTAAAATAAGTACTCCGTACCAAATGCAGGGTTCCACATATAAGTAGGAGGTATAGGGTTCACTGAAAAAAAATGTTTTAAAGATGATTCCTTGGATTCACTTATTTTCTTAAGTTAAATGGTTGTAAACAGTTTATTTGGGCTGAATTTATACAAACAAATTAAGTTGAACATTACTAAATTTAATTTATTTTCTTTCCATTAACTCAATTGTTTGCAACTATATAAGAAGGAATTATTCATGTTGTCCCAAGACATGATTAACTTAATTTTTTTTACGAATTTAGGAGGATTGATTGAACATTAAAAAATAAGTTTAATGTATATGTAGTTTATATATATATAAACTACATTTTTTATATTTTGTACAAATTTAACTTAATATGTTCAGTCTGATTGTTTGATATAAGTTGAGATAACTAGAAATGTAAATATGTCTCAAATAAACATTTTTAAGCTGCTATGAATTACTGTGCAGAGTATCTCAAATACATAAGTATTTCTAATGAGCTAACATTATAAAGGGTATTTATTTTAAAAAGACTGAAAATGTTTTATTTTTTTTTAATTAGTTCACTTCAATCTTAAAATTACATATTAATATTAAAAATTGCTTATTGCTAGAAAGGAAAATACACACAAAAACAATGCAATTCTTTTTTTAGGGGGGAAATCTTAATAGTTTTATGTTTAATCTATTTAAATTTGTAAAAACAAACATGTTAACATTATTCTTTTAATGTTGTCGCAACAGAAATTGATTGCCTGTAACCCAGCATTTTTTACAGTGTACTTAAAAAAAAAAAAGTTATTCAGGTCTTAACTCCAGATGTTCAGTCGGATTGATTAATATAAGTAAAAATGCCTCAAAAATAAGTAAACATGCATCAAGTAAACTATTTTTTGTGCAGATTTTTTTTACAGTGCAAAGTAACTTAAATACACCAGACCTTTAAATGAGTTTACCCTATAAAGAGTATTTATTTCTTCAAAATACTAAAAATCTATTTTTCCGAACATGAGTTCACTTCAATCATAAAATATTATATTAATATTAAAAATTACATATGGCCAGAAAGAAAAATACACTCAAAAAAGAAAATGATGTTTGCACTCAAACTACTTGTTTAAAATAAGTTGAAACAACATGATTCTTACATTTCTGGGGAGGGGACAACATCATTTTTTTGAAACAATTAAGTTAACTTAATCGATTTGTGTTGGGACAACATGAAGGAATTGTGTGTAACCCAGCATTTTTTACAGAGTTATTCAGGTCTCTACATTTTTATATTTATACAAAGTTTAACTCAACATGTTCAGTCAGATTAATTAATATAAATAAAGATAAGTAAATTTACCTCAAAATAAGTAAACATGACTTAATTATTAATTAATTAATTAAATTAATTATTTTTGTTGCAACTTTTCTTACTGTGCAAAGTAACTGCAGACCTTTGAATGAGTGTACACTAAAAAGGGTATCTATTTCTTCAAAAGACTCAAAATCTATTTTTTAACATGAGTTCACATCAATTATAAAATAATATTAATATTAAAAATACATAAAATAGAAAAACACGCACAAAAAATGCTTGTTGTTCAAACTACATATTTAAAATGAGTTTAATAGTTTTGTAAAAACAACAAGTTAATATTATTCCTTCATGTTGTCCAGCATTTTTACAGGGTATTTTGCTAATTAACTTTACTGTTTTATTAAAAGCAACGTTCTAAGCCAATTAAGTTATATCTTGACTTGTTCTCAAATTTACTGATAAATATAAATAAATGCAACTAAAACTAAAATAGCGTTTTCATGTTGTTTAGTTCTGCATGCTTCACTAACACACGCTCAAATAAATGACCCAGCAAAGCGATTCTGAAAGTCATCCTGCTACTGATACACTCCAAACGCACTTGCATGAAACCCTCGATGTCTTTGGGTAAAAGTATTATTAGTTGTATGTGTAATTAATGCCATGTGATTAAACTTGCATGCGTTTGTATCTATGAATAGCCTCAAATCGCTCAGATTTCACTTCTCTCCAGCACTGCAGGAATAGTCCTTTTAAAATATCAGTAGCTAAACATCCGATTTAAAAAAAATAAATAAATAAATTATATATATATATATATATATATATATATATATATATATATATATATATATATATATTAAACCACAAGATCTATTTAAAGAAATAATAATAATAATGCAATAAAAACATCGTGTAGGCTACATTCGAAAAAGTAAAGTAATAAAAATTTGATTATATGCATTAAACTTTGTGTTTAACTGTGTTTACCGTCACCTAAAAATTAAAAAAGCATACTCTAAGTCAATTATAATTAACCTTACTGTTGCTATTATGTATTTTAATGCGGTTTTGAATCTTGGCCAAGCCTCTGTAAAAGAGATTAAAATTTGTAACTCGTACACCAATCTAAAAGATCTGATCTATATTAAAATCGATGTAAACAGATCAAGAGATTCCTAGTTAACGTGAATGCAAATAGTCACGATTATAATATAATCTCACATATACAATCTCACACGGTAGTCAACATTATGAAGTGAATCAAAACCGTCCCTCAAATGTGTCCTAAAACTATTTAACAACACCAATTCGTGTCTCATGAGTTTGAAAAACCTTTTGGTAACACTTTAGGATACAAAACACTATTATTGCCTATTATTAAGATATTAACTGTTCATATAAAGTATGCTTTTTAGTGTATATTCCGAATCCTACCCAAAACCTAAACACAACGTCTACCTTATGCTACTAACTATTGATAAACAGCTAATTAGTAGTTTATTAAGCTATAGTAGTGTTAGCTAATGGGTTATTAATAGTGTGAATAGTGCGAACATTTTTTAATTTACTTCAAATGTTGACTAATATATAGCCTATATAATCTCACGTAACTTCACACTGCTTGTATTAAAGCGTCTTTCTGACACAACAAATGTTAACTATACAATAACACATCTATAAACTCACATAATGTTAGTAATAAAGCATCTTTCTCACACTTCATATAGCTATAATGTCATATAATGTAAGTATTAAAGCGTCTTTCTGACCTTAAACGCCACAGGGAGCGTTTTGTTGCACCTCCAGTGAGACGGCAGCACCGAGCACAGAAAGTTGGGGCTGTCCGTGCGCACGAGCTCGGCGGGGTGGTCCGCTATGATCTCCACCATGGTCCGGTTGTCGTGAGGTCGGAGTCTCGGCACCACCGCGTTCGGCTCCGGCTGCGCATCGCTCATCTTCCCCGCCACCGGCTGAAGGCTGCTGGACGGCGGACTGAACCTGCGGCTGGTGCTCGGATCTACCGGAATGCGCATCACAACAATGTCAGCAAAGGTAAGCTACAGTACACTTTAAAAAAAAAACACCTCAGCTAAATGTCAGCGTTTTTCAATTAAAACTAGATGCGATGATGTGTGAAGTCCGTCCTGAAAAAGTTGGATATGTTCGGATCCGCTTTTACGCGCGAGCTTTACGCGCTCCTACAGGTGATTCGCGTGGATATAATCGCACATGGTTGAACTAAGACATAATTTACGAGGTGATTTTCGTCGTGAGAAAGTTTAAAATCCGTGGTAAAATCGCGAAGGGTTCGCATTATAACGCGCGCTCGTTCGCGTCAGCGCGCTTCTCAAAACGCGCCACCATGAAGAAGTCAAAAAAGAAAGTTTGCAACAAGGAAAAAAAGCCCTTAATATCTTTCTTTCTCCATCTATAGGCTTTGCGAAGGGTTAAAAAGGTGATTCCAGAGGTTGTGGTTTGAAAGATGAAGGCGCTGGAAAAGCCGCAGTGTTTTTGTCTCGTTGTGTGGTTTGTCTTTGGAGGCAGGGACTTGGGTGAGCTCAGGTTTTTTTGTGGTTTATATATATATGCAGAAGCAGGAGGATTATTATGCTGATGAGTCTCGAGCACGTCATGTCTCCGAGCACCATTTCGTGGTATCAAAATAAATGAGCAATTGTGTGGTTTGATATCAGGCTGTTTTTTTTTTTACTATAAAGCAATCCAGATTTCATGCTGACACTTTTATACAGCAGCACATCTTTAAGTAAATGTAAAGATAAACACACGTCTCAACACCTAGAGGATGATTAAGAACTAAGAGTGAAAAATAGGCTACAACGTTATCGATTTTTATTGCAGCAAGCTACTTTTCTCTCGTATTAAGGCACATAAAGGCTCATATTGAGAGGGAGAAACGCACCTCATTGAAAACCAGACTGAAAGCAAACAAGCAGAGAAGAGAAGTGACTCATTTCCTATTTCTAAAGGCAGATAAAGAGCCAGGCTGAAGTTAATATTATACAAGATCAGACAACAACTACAGTAGAATTAAGCAATGACATGACAACTATAGCTACTGAAAAAGTTTTGTGACCTATTATGATTTTTTTTTTCTTATTTTAATTTAACATTTTGTAAATGTTTTGTATGTATTTAAAATGTATGAGCATTTTTGTTCTCTCTATATATGCTTTTATAATTTAAGGCTGGAAAGGGAACATTTTATTTTGTAATTTTGGGAGTTTTTACATGTTGTTTTTTTATTATTATTATAATTATTATTCTTATTATAAATCTCTAAAAATAGTGTTTAATCACTGATTTTGTTTATTTAAATATGTGTCAATGAGGAATATAACAGTTATAAATAGAAAACATAATTGTAGTAATAATATATATGACGAATATAAAAAAAATAATAATTGTAGTAATATTAATTATACTCTAATGGTCTTTGTTGAACAATGCTATAAAAAATATATGTAAAATAAGTAAAATATTAAAATAATATTAAAGTTAAATCCAAATACATTGTTTAATACTATTTTTGACCACAAGGGCAGTAAGGAAAATACATTTGAATAAACAAAGTAAACATCTTGGTTATATTGTTGTATATTGTACATACATACATATATATATATTTATATATTTATTTATTTATTTATTTTTAATTATCTTATTTTGTCTTATTTTGTCTTATCTTGTCTTATCTTGTATTATATTATATTATATTATATTATATTATATTATATTATATTTATTATATCTTTAAAAGTGCGTTTATTGATTATTTTAAAACTGTATAAATCTTAAAAGCTCTTTTGGTGGCGCTCTTTAACATTAAAATGCGTCTTTTATCATGCGCCGCGTTTAAAAGCAAGACTACAGCAGCGATCATTTATAAATACATGCTCTAACATTACATGAGAATTAAAAACTACATTACCCACAATCCCTTGCAGCTTCGCGTGACGCCAAATCCACACGCGCTGAGCAGTGTTTACATCACAGACAAGTGCCTTGCAGTGTGTAAAGAGCACATGGATGGATTGAATATTTCCTAACATAAGGTAAAAACGCTGTTATATGAACGCGTGAGGGTAAAAATACAATCATCCGTTAAGTTGAAAGTCAACGTATATCAATACTTGACTTAGATTGATCTGTTTGTTCAGTTCGGTCGATTGTTTTGGTTCATAAAGTGCTTAAAACTGTCTTAACAATGCTGTAAATCGTTTTATTTGATATATTTTAAGCTGTTTGACATATATGAAGTCTATAAGTTGCTATATCTATGAGCAATTACGCTTTTTGACGGAGTAAAGCTAACAGATAGGCTAGTCTTAACGCATTGGTAGTCGTGTGTCATTTTGTTGTTACTATATTCACACATTCAGACTTTCTTCTTAATAATAAAATATCTTTAAGTATTATTTGCTAATTTTAAATAGCGAAATTATACTAGCAGCCACTGACTATCAAAATACTTTATTAATTAAATTAAATTGTTCTGTTGTTTTCAAGTCATGTGATTTCTGACTGAATATTCAAAAGTACCATAGTAAATAATATAGTATGTCACAAGCTGTCACTGAACAAATGTGCGAATATAAAACCAACTTAACAATGCTGCTAATCGTTTAATTTGATATATTTTAAGCTGTTCAACATCTTTGAAGTCTGAAAGTTGTTAGTTTTTAGTTTGCACTTACGCCTTTTGACGGAATAACGTTATCAGATAGGCTAGTCTTAAGATATGAAGCTAAAGTTGGCATTATATTCACACATTCAGGCTTTCTCCTTAATAATATAATGTCAGAAATGTATTATTTGCAAACTCTAAATAGTGATCTTATAGTAACTAATGACTATCAAAATACATTGTTCACAATCAATTAAATAGTTCTAATGTTGTTTTTAAGTCATACTTGCATGTGATTTCAGACCAAATATTCAAAAGTACCATGGTAAATAATATAGGGAGCATGTCACAAGCTGTCACTGAACGAATGTGTGAATATAAAACCTACTTAACAATACTGTCAATCGTTTTATTTAAGCTGTTCAACATCTTTAAAGTCTGAAAGTTGTTATTTTAGTTAGCAATTACGCTTTTTGACAGAGTAACGTCATCAGATAGGCTGGTCTTCACTTATTGAGGTAAAGTTGGTATTACAGTAGTACATTCAGACTTTTTCCCTAATAATGTAATATCAAAAATGTTTTATTTGCAAATTTTAAATAGTAAAATTATATTAGCAGCCAAAAATAAATTTTTCATAGACAAAAAAATAGTTCTAATGTTGTTTTCAAGTCATACTTGCATGTGATTTCAGACCAATTATTCAAAAGTACCATGGTAAATAATATAGGGAGCATGTCACAAGCTGTCACTGAACAAATGTGTGACTATAAAATCCACTTAACGATGCTGTCAATCATTTTATTTGATATATTTTAAGCTGTTCAACATCTTTAAAGTCTGAAAGTTGTTATTTTAGTTAGCAATTACACTTTTTGACAGAGTAACGTTATCAGATAGGCTAGTCTTAACTTATTGAGGTAAAGTTGGTTTCGCACATTCAGACATTCTCCTTAAGAATATACTTTCAGAAATGAATGATTTGCAAATTGTAAATAGGGAAATCCTATTAGCAGCCAATAACTATCAAAATACATTGTTCACAGTCAATTAAATATTGCTAATGTTGTTTTCAAGTCGAACTTGCATGTGATTTCAGACTGAATATTCAAAGGTACCATGGTATACAAGATATTGAAGCGTGTCACAAGCTGTCACTGAACGAATGTGCGAATATAAAAGCAACTAAACAATACTGTCAATCATTTTATTTGATACATTTTAAGCTGTTTGATTTCTTAGAAGTCTGAAAGTTGTTACTTTTAGTTAGCAGTTACGCTTTTGATGGAGTAACAGTATCTGATAGGCTAGTCTTAACGTATTGAGGTAAAGTTGGTATTATATTCTCACATTCAGACTTTCACCTTAATAATATTAAACCAGAAATGTATTATTTGCAAATTCTAAATAGGGAAATCATATTAGCAGCCAATGACTATCAAAATACATTGTTCACAATCAATTAAATAGTGCTAATGTTGTTTTCATGTCATAATTGGGATTTTAGACCAAATATTCAGAACAAACAATATCCGCAGTGTCTCAAGTTGACACTGAATGAATGTGCGAATATAAAACCAACTTTACCTCAATTCTGAACATTACCTCAGCACAGATGCATTAAATAGTAAGTTATACGCTTGACTTTTAACCAGCGAATGACTTTTCGAAAACATAAGTTGGTTTTACTTAATAATAATTCGATGGAAACCATCTCAGTTTCCTTTTTCTTATTCTAAACTCCATCTCAGTGTCTGTGGTCGTTGAGGTTTAATACTCTTTTCTTCCTTCACAGTCAATTTTGGAAAAAGAAAATAGGAAAAAAAAAAAAAAATCACATCCACGCTCTTGTGTCTAGCCTGACTTTCCCCCATGTGTATTGTTTGTAAAACCTTGGCTGTTTGAAAGACTGTAGGAAGAGTGATGTCAGCACTCGACATGAAGTCTGACTCTGTGGAAACTTACACACACACACACACACACACACACACACACACACACACAGAAAAATGATGATGGAGATCTGAATATGTGAGCCATTTCTCCTCCTCCTTCCTGTCCAAGTGCACGTCCAGGAGCCTTTAATCTACACGTTTCGGTGTGAGAGAAATGGATTTCGCATGATTGCCGGTCTAGTGGCTGTGCTGTGTGTGGCGGCGAGGATGTAGGAGGGAAATAAAACATCCAATGGCTCCGAATCGCATTTGCCACTTCATTAGGGCCTCGAGAAAGACGCACTATTAAGTTACATTTCCTTCTCCGGCGACTGCGAGCGCCAAATATGTTTCTGATTTTTTTTTTTATTTTATTTTTTTCCTCCCTCACTTATGATGATCGTCTGTAAATTTACGAGACAGCTGAATTGGGGTAATTGTAATTAATGAAAAATATAGTTGAGTGTATATAT